GGTCTCGTTCGTTGCTTGTTACGATTCTGTTGTTCTGCGATGTTGCGTTTGTTGTTGGTGATGGTGTTGCTGGCGCTGGCGCGGTTGTAGCTGCTCGTGCAGCTGCTGGTGTTGGTGGTTTGTGTGCTGCGCATGATGTTCACGATTCGCGTCGCGCGCCTATTCCTGTCCCTCGTCTTTCTCCGCCAACTCACATTCACTCATGTAAGACTGTCAGGCAAGCATCGGTCGATTACCAAAACTGATTGCTCACTTGATTTGGTTCGAATTCGCGTCTGTGGAGAGAAAACGTGTGTCATGTTTCGCGTGCACATTGCTCCTAGTTTGCATGCATAGTTTGGTGTGATGTGAACGAATGACCGACCGAGCGGGTGTTCGAGGACAATGGGAACGAGGTTGGACACGTGTGAGTGTTTTCGTTCTTATTCGTCTTGTTTGTTTTTGTGTTTCCATGCGACCATTGAATGATTGATTTAGCATTTCACGTGTGTACGGTCTATTCGATCCGTATTGGGAGTGTTTGCATTTGTTTTGACAGTGTTCTGAGAGATGGGGAGGACGGGAAAAGCAGAACGCCCGAACAGGGGCTCGAACCCTGGACCGTCAGATTAAGAGTCTAACGCTCTACCGACTGAGCTATCCGGGCTGAACTATGCATGATTAGCAAAAAACAAACACTATAACATAAAGCACTGGCAAAGGCTAAACACAACACAAAAAGCAGGAAATTTAAGCTAAACATCAAATCCGAACGGACGAATTAAGGACAGAGCGATCATCAATCGTATGACCGATCAGCCGACCGAGAGACTGAGTAACGAATTACCCAACCATCGACGACAAACCGAACACAAGCCGCCGGAATCGGCCAATCCCGACTGCGTCAACGTTCGCATGAATACCGGCACGACATTCACGAAGCATATATTGCAATCTTTTCCCTTTGAAAGCTTGGCTTTTCTCACGTCCTTGTTGTACTTCACCGAAATACTTTCTTTTTTTTTGAGGGAAATGTTTACGTTGTCGGAATTACCTCTCTGACGGTGTTTTCTAAATTGAATTGCTCTTTTTTTCTTTTAAACACAATAAGTTTTTCAAGAGTTTATCTTTAATAGACGTCCTAACCCTTGTTTTTTACATATGCTGCTTTGTGTCAACTTCCTTCTTTCAGCGTGGCAAAGTATCAACGGATTTGCTTAAAGTTCTTGTTCGTGAAAATAAAACGTGCATTCAAATGTGGCAGGAGGTCCGAGATGAAACAGGTGTCTTTTCTATTCATGATTGAAATAAGGCGATTAGTTTTCTTCAGTGCATTTAAGGTTTTTGTGACCCGGAAATAAATATATGTTGCGTGGAATCAATCTACTCTGCAAGCATAGATAAGTGTTTTCCAGTCCCTCCATTAATACTAAAACACTGAATGTTGCATTCATTCACTTTTTGCCCGACAGACCCCATTTATATTGACTCCAGTTTTCTGAATATCCCTTCCTCGACTGATCTCATGATCTCTAGTGAGCTCCTTAAACGTGTAATCTCTCAAGGTGTCGACCGCACATGATCCAGGGAAATTAGATCCTACCTTTCTTGAACACGATGCCATACCACTGTCTCAAATTTTTGCACACAGCTAATCATTCACTCGAACTCCGAACAATTGTGGATTGCCGTTGCCCAGTGAGAATTACTCCCATTCCCAAAGAACGCCAAAGGCCCCAATAATGAAGCGTTTCAGACCAGTTCCTCTCACTTCTAATGGTTTGAGATTGATGGAGTGATGAGTTCTGCCTTCAGTTAACTCCATCAGTCCCAACGATTCTTATCAGTTTACACCTAATTATGACCCCTTTACATTGGATGCCGTATCTTCCCTAGTTCGTTTCATCCGTATGTCCTAAACGAGAAACCCGAATATGTTTACTGTGCATTTCTTGATTATTCTTCCTTTTTTACTCGGTGCCTCGTTGTCTTTTGCTTAACAAGCTCCGGTCATTTGGTCATCCCACATATATTGAATAGGTTGGTGATTGCTTTTCTCAAAGATGTTAGTATAATAAATCAGGGAGAAGTCAGTGAAGGACATCACTAGTTTCGATGATGTCTTACAACCCTATATTTTCGCGACTTATATCAGTGACTAACTGTGGTAATCGTAGTGGTTGTAGAACACACTGATTACGAAGTACGAATCACAAATTAGAAATCACGGACGCAACGTAAGCACTAGGTCACACTAGTAGTTGCACGCAGTAGCCCACGTAACCGAGATACGAAGAAAAGGCCACAGGAATGGAAGTTCGTTTGTTTAACGACATAAGTGGGATGAAATAATATGTACAAAACAAGTTCGTTGGTCATCCAAGCCTCTACCAATCGCCTTCTAGTGTTTCTGCGGTTGTTCAACTTCTGTTTGGACCGCACGGTTTCTGTTTGGTGGATCTGATCGACAAATGATCTAAAGTTCAGAATTTGACACGTACGAGCTTTTCTGACGTCAGTTCGAAAGCTTGATTCATCAAAGTTGTCCAAAAAGTGTGGTGTGTCCTTCCGTGGTGTNGTGCGTCATCTCGTAGGCCCGGATCATCGGACTTACATTTTAGTCCCCCTGTACGACATTTTAATAATGATGATTATATCGTAGTTTGTGTTTACGTATCATACCAATAAGAACTGGTTGAATATAACACAAACTTATCGCACCTCATTTCATATTCCATTTCATCCGGTCCTAATCTCAATCCCGAAAAATCCTTTGAATATATTTTTACTTTGAATCGTTTCCTATCTGCCTTCGACAATGTAGAGATTCAGCAAAAGCCCATGCGCAGTGTCAGCCATGTGATGTACTTAGGTGTCACACTTGAAAGTAACCTTCGCTGGTTTTTCCATACCCAAGCTATTGTTTGCAAGCTGAAAGTTCTCTCTTTTCCGACAACAAGCCTGTGCCATCTCTGTTCTGATTTGATGGCGATAGACGCTTTTATACGACAATGTGTTCTCTCAATACCCCTTCACTGCTTCTCTAAACTTTTCTCTGGTTTAACTGAAGGCTGAATTTTCAAATTACAATTTCAAATTCAAACTTGTATTATGAGAAAACA